TCTTCATTAATTCTAAAAAACATTTCAAATACATAGGGTGAGTTCGGCTTGCTCACTCCGTGCACTCGGAGTGACTCCAGTCGCACTCCAGCCGTTCGGGTTAAGTATTGCTTTTTACGGTATCAGGGGTGACTCCATTAGCTCTGTTCACTCCACTCCAGCTCCGCGCTGAATAGCCGAACTCACCGATTATACATCCATATTTCAGACAGTTTTTAATATTGCACTAGACGACAGCGATGACGTCACCCGCAGATCTCAATGGAATGCTTCCGATTCAGGCTGTGCTAGTGAGTTAATTTTTTCGTCGATTTTAAATGTAGAAAACGTACTTTTCGGTCTGTTCTGCAGCGAGGTGCCTGTAGACAATGTCAACGTAAACAATTGATTGTCTACGCGTAGACAATTCGAATTGTTTACGTGAGCATTTGTCTACACTCCGTGTGTTCGTTATTTTGGTCTGAGTTCTCCGAGCTTGACTTTACCGTTCGTTTATTTAAAAAGTGTACTCGGTGCAGCCTCATTCGCGTTCGTTTATTAAAATTTCCGTTACTTTTATACAGCGTTCAACTGCTCCGTTCGCTCGCTGGTCACGTGATTACGGCTCCGCTCAGCTCGCTCTACACTTTGAGCAAAATACCAAACGCAAGGTAAGTCTACATGCGGTGTAAACAATAACTTATTTTAAAAAATTGGAAAAAAATATCAAAAGTTACTATACTATCACTATTACTTCGATATCAGCATTCACTGATTATAAAATATCAGGAAAACCAATAATAAAATAAAAATAATTTGAAATAAGGTGTAAAGGTTAGAATTAACCCAGCAAACACGAACTGACGGTAAACAATCGGCCGAATGCCTTGACGGCATCGGCAAAATGCAGTTGGCCCCTTGTATTTTCGATCATTGAATTCCGGCTGTTGGCATTTGAACGCTGGCCTAGCGTCGGGGCTTTTCTATTAATGATTTCAAATTATACAACTGGTACTATATATATCACTGGACCGGCAGTTTGCCAATATATGTTTCCCAGCCTCCTTAAAAATTTCGAGCAGGCGTACCGCGCACGCTTTCTTCATGTGTGTTCTGTGCATTGTTGAACCTGAACTGAACAGCATTGACAGCCATTACCTCGTTGGTGACGTATGTTTGTGGCTTCGTTTTTGTATTTTGATTTTGTTCTTGGTCTTGTGCTTTGGGTAATTTCTCAATAATTGTGGAAATAAGTTATTGTGTTGTTTGTGTTGTCGCGCGAAAAGTCAATTGTTAGACATAAGACAAAACTCTCCGGCAACGGAGACAACTATTGGTGAGTACCTATACTTGTAATTAAAATAACGCATGTACCTGTACATTAAAAAATGTTTTTATTCTTCTTTATAGATGGAAATGATGGATTTATTTTCCAAGTTTATGTGTTAGAATTTAAGTTTATTTTATATTTCTTCCAAAGAATTTATTTATTTATTTCTATACACCAATGAAATGAAATGTTGACTTTTTTCTTATAATATTGTATTGTATTACTTAAATAGGTATTAACTATTTTAGATATTTTTATAAAAATGCATTTTTATTTCCTAGTCATTTTCAAAGATTTAGGAGGAATGTAGCTTATATAATATTAGGTATCTATGATTTTTTCGGTGAATCCTAAATTTGTTTGATATTTTAGTCCTCCAGAAAGGCTTGGATTCCTACTACGAAGAAAAACAGACAGGAGAAAAAAATTGTTGTGTCATACCAAGTTGCAGAAAAAGTAAAATTCGATTTTTGGAATTATTTACCAGCATTCTAGTATATAACATTACAACCATGTATAAAGTTATGGCCCTGTGATGAAAATCCATCTGTAAAGGACCATAAAATTTGTGGAAGTATACCCAGCGTTGGCCCAATGTAACGATTCAGACGTTGAATCGGCCCAACGCTGGTTCATACTGTTGGCCGACTTGCGGCTCGACTGTCGGCCGGGCGGTCATATACGATCCGGACCAGTACTTTTTTCATTTAGTTGGGCAGATGCCTGTTATCCGGCAAAGCGGCATTCGTACGATGCTGGACCGTAAGCAATGTGTTTGTTGGGATACGTCATTTATATTATTTTATACGCTGTGTCTAGAATCCCGGTACCGGTAACACATTTTTTACCGGTAGTTTTGATGCCGTCACCCGACGCACTAGGTACCCGGGATTTAAGCAAATCCCGGTAAAAAATGTAGTCGTTGGCGGTTTTTGTTTTATCAAAGACCAACTTAACCTAATTTTTTATGTTTTTAACTTGTTTTGTTGATGTTTGAACGTAAAGTGGAGTGTTTTACATTTAAAAGTTATAAAGAAGTTTAAGAGACTTTGACATTGACATGTAAAATGTACCAGTTTGTTTAAAATACCCAAAATGTAGTATTTTTCTGATTGCAAACTAAATAAAAAATGAGAGATATTAATTTTAATTTACATCCTAAACAGTATAGTTACATACCTACATGTATATTGGCTTGAAGTAAATTAATAAATATTAAATTCGATTATAAACTGCTAGGTACTGTTCGTCGATTTTAATCTGATACTCGGACGGAATGTGGGCTGGTGGCTCCCTACATTAGAACGCCAATGGTTACCTGACGTCACACCTGTTTTTGCCATATGAAACACCCCCTGGCTCCTCATACCGCAAGTGTCAGTTAAAAATCTATGGACAATATATAAAGTGACATCATTTCGTTTAAATTCTCAGGGGTTTTCGGAAATAACAACCCTAGTCCACTATCATCTGATTGCAGATTACTTCTAATCTGGGATGAGTTGTTCGACATTTCCGAACGCAAATCATTTATATAAGGACTAGCTGACCCGGCGAACTTCGTACCGCCTCTGAATTATTAAATACCTATTAAATGTTGTGTGAACGTATCTATTAGCTGAATTAAATTCAGTTTTTTTCAATGGTGAATTTGGCTTTGGTTGAAAAAAATTAATGTTTACTCTCTGGATCAGAAGTCACCTAAAATTAAAATTTTACATCATCCCTTTTTAGGCAGCTTGTGGGCATTATTCTTGTAAAGTGTACCATCAAATAAATAAACTCAGGCACAGGAATGTTCAAAGAATGAAAAGAAAACAAAAAAATCTCCAGTGCAGCCCTGTTTCACTCTATCTGCACTTAACTACTCCATCTGTTCTACTCTAGCTGCACTATTCTATCTGATCTACTCTTTCTGCACCACTCTATCTGATCGGAATAGTGGAATAGTTCTGTTCGGAATAGCTCCAGTTCCTGAGTAACATTGTTCTACTGTATCTGCAATGAAATTACCGCGCAACGGCGAGCTTCGTTCTAGGTATCAGGGATAGCGACGTATACAAAATGGTTTGCAATGAAAATGTGGCGGTAAACTTGGTATCGGTTATAAGAGATGGCGCCGTATGCGGGCTTAGTGAATTTTTTTCATAAATAAGTAAAATAGGTAATTTTGCTTTTTGTCTTTTTTTTTGGATTTTCTCGATTTATTATGTTAGTATGGACAAAGACAAATCCAATAAAGCAAAAATCATAAAAATCAGTCCAGCTGTTCTCGAGTTATAAGTGCTAGAACCAACCAGATAATAATGATAACAAAATGATCCTCCATTTATTGAATAATTCATTTATTACAAAAATTGTGATAAATGAAGAACCGCTCGACCGATTTTGTGCAAACTTCACATAAACCATCTAATAAATTAGTCCGAACAAAGCCTAAACATTTGGTTTGGCTAGGTGAGCCCGTTCTTGAGTTATAAAATTACAACGAAAAGTGGCATTAATTTTTATATATATTGATATTTCGAACCTAAACTAACTTTTATAGTTTGAATTGTTTCAAAAAAGTGACGAAAACATTAATTAACTAACCTAAAATACCATTCAGCTGATAAATAACGATAAAAACAAAATCAAAACACCGGGATTCGCTTAAATCCCGGTACAAGTGCGTCATATCGATGACGTCATCTAAACTACCGGTAAAAAATGTGTTACCGGTACCGGGATTCTAGACACAGCGTATTTTATATTGTTGACACGTTGTCTACATTGTCTACATTGTCTACATTATCTACACGTAAAGTAGATAATGAAAGTCTACGTGTAGACGCACATCCCTGCTGTTCTGACAGAAAAAATAAGTGTTCTTGATTCTTGATCCTCGAGTATCCCAGAATTTGATGGTGGGGGAGTTAGGGGAGTATGACACAATTGAGACATCACATAATCCAACATACTCGAGTATGCTTCGCTTGGTTATCCTCACGAAAAATTGCCCAATATTATAATAAAATATGCAGAGCAGAAAGCAGAAACCGTGCTAGACAAAAACAAAAAAACCAACATATGATTTTACTTTTAATAGGTACCATCGTCACCAAAAGTATCTGGGACACAAATAATGCATAATAATCTCCTGGACTAGTTCTACTGTCATTCATTTCAATGCATTTAAATTATAGTTTGACAAATATTTGACAATAAAATTCATATAATAGGACAAGAGATAATGTGATGCTGTCCCAGTTACTTTTGGTGACGATGGTACCTTAAAAAATCCCGAGGAGGAATCCGAGCCTGCATTTTTGTTTTTCATTTATACTGCACTGCACTAGTGTGCACTGTGTGAAAAATTCGACAAATGGAAAACGCCATGAGAAAGAGAGGTCGCAGTGTAGAATTTACTAGAATTGTGGGTCGGTAAATTGAAAACATCTATAAAAACCGCCCTGGGCCCGGATTCCAAACCCACGATTCGATAGTATCGTCCCATCTATTTTATATGGACGATATTATTGAATTGTGGGTTCCGAATCTGGGCCCTGAATTCAAAATCTTGATTGTTGGTGTTGGTGTCTAATGCTAATGTCAAATTTTCCAGCAGCGCATCTCGCACTGGGTTTTCGAACGCCCTAAATCGAAATCGCCGAACCTACACTTGTCATTTATTGTGTCAAAAATTTCATACCACAAACAAAAAAAAATGGGACTGTGCGACTGTGGACTGTGTAAAACTTTTATAACCTTGAATATTACCGATTTTTTTTCTATTTTTTCAACAATTTTATTCTATTCATATTATTTTCCAGTGTTGTTGAGGTGTTATTCTATCAACATTCAAGTGGCCTACGTGATTTAACAACAGGGTAACTAAACCAACAGGTAATCTTTTTACCATAATTGCTTTGAAATTGAGTTTTAAGGGGGCCAAATGTAAATTTAAAAGATTTGTTGAAAAAAACTAGTTATTATATTAGAGATTATCATCTTGCCTCGGCCTTAAGCGTCCTCGGCGATAACTTTTCTCTATACGTACGCTAAAAAGTTTCGCGGTCATGATGTCTATGGTCATGGTATACATACTATTTTTTGTGCACCTAAAAACTATGACAATTATGTAAAGTTACAGAAAAACTGTATGAATTTGACACATTTTGCATGTCAGGTGTGGCGGCCGCGAAATTGAATTCCGCAGCCTGTGTAGCGGCTCCGAGAGCTCATTTCGCAGATGGTTGCACAAAAAAAATATTGTCGATATAATTACCTCACGCTGAAGGGCAACCGGGGCAACCCAATGACATCTTGGGCCAGGCAACCCATCATTTTGTACATTGTCAAATTTAAATTTTCCTATAGGTTAAAAACTGGTTAAAACCGAAAAATGCCAAATTAGGCAATCCAACGACCTGTCCAAATGGGGCCTGGATGGCAAACAAAAAACACATGTTTTTTTTTTTTGGCGGGACTATCAATACAAGGGGAGAGTTCTCAAATCTGACACTTTTTTGACATCGTTTACATGACGTAACAACCCGTATTCTAACCTCATAAAAATTTTGAAATGCCGGCTGGTTTGGCAAAGGCCGAGGGGTTTTTCACCTAACAAAATGTATGCACCAATTATTAACAGCACTAACTTAGATATTTCCATGTAGGTACTAACAGATATTTCTATGTACCTAATAACAAGTTATTGCCAACTATTTCCATGTATTACCAAAATATTTTCACATATTGCCAGGTATTTCCGAGGGTATTTCCCTAGTATTACCACATATTACCAGGTATTGCCATGCTATTGACAGACTAAAATCAAATATTTGTCTTGCCAGAATTCTAGGTATTGACATATCCACAGGTATTTACATGTTATTAATGGGTATCAACCAATGACATTAACATATTGCCTATACAGGGTGTTAATAAATAGTGGGATCAAACTTTTAAGATAAATAAAATAAAAAAAATAAAAAAAATAAAAAAATAGGTTTATTGATGACGACAAAGAAGAGGAAAACCCTGTACACATCAAATGGTGATTAGACTTCAAAGCGTTTTTTAATAACCACCAATTCAATAATTTAATATCACTTATTAACTAAAACAAGTAAAGATATAATAAAATATCACAATAATCATCACAATGATTGTATGGTGCTGTCAACAGCGCCAGTAGTTTTGTTTACGTTGTTGAAACATTTTCAGTTTTTTTGATGTATAAACGCAACCAAAATTAATTTTGTTGATATCTATCATCTCATTATCGGAAGGTTTAAGGACGGAAGTGAAAATTACGTCTGTAACGATCGAGTTATTCCGAAAATAGTGAAAATAGCTACGGCGTGGTACTAGAAATAACGTGCAGTGTTGCCGGTTTACACCTTCAAAAATTAAACTATGAAGAAAACAGTGCGCGCTCTTTAAACAAAGTTATAAACAACCATTTTAGCCTAAAATGGAGTGCGTAATATGCGAAGAGACTAAATCAAAAGAAGTCTTTAACTGTGATGGCTGTAGGAATCCTATATGCAAGTCATGTGGTGGCCTGTCCGCATCGGAAGTTAAAGTTATGGAATTACGTGGCAAAAGGGTAATGAGATTTAACTGCCCAAGATGCATAAACCTTGAAACATGTAAACTTTTACAAGATGTCATAGACAGCAAAAATGCAAATATTGATGACAAAGTTGAAATTATAAGCATGCTAAAAACACAAATTGAAGAATTGAAAAAAACAAATGAAAATAAAAATACTTATGATTATGCTGAAAAGTCGTATGCGGGAGTAACAAGCAGGCCGCCAGCAAAAAACAGGCTCAATATCCCAAATCTGATTATTCGTCCGAAACAAATCCAAGATGTAACAAAGACAAAAGAAGATATTACCAAGAAGATTAATCCTTCTGAGTTGAACATTGGCATAAGAGGTATGAGAGCGACAGGAAATGGAAACATTGTCATTAAATGCCACACCAAACAGGAAGTTGAGGATTTGAAAAGGGCAGCTGAAAGCGTATTACAAAATAAATACGAAATAATTACAACAACAATGATGAGACCAAAAATTAAAATTCCCGGATATGAAGGCAATGAACCTAAACAACAAATTGAGCAGATTATAAGAAATCAAAATGAATGGATTAACGACACAGATGAAATAAAGGTTACATTCGTGAAAAAGAGGAACATGGATTCAACTATTTTTGCGGAGTGTTCCGGAGAGATGTATCAAAAATGTATGAAATATAAAAAGATACATATTGGTTGGCAGCGCTGTCCTATATACGAGGATTTGAGTGTAACAAGGTGTTTCAATTGTCAGGAATTCTACCATAAAAATAACAAATGCAACAAAAACAAGGTATGTGAATATTGTGCAGGAAATCATGAAATGGAAATATGTGAAAAAGCAATAAAAAAGTGCAATAACTGTATGGATGCAAACAAAAAATACAAACTGTTATTGCGTGTCACATGTGGCTTCAGACCCTAATTGCCCAAGCTACAATTATCATTTGGAAATGCTCAAGAATAAAATAGAATATAATTCATAATGTTCAGTCCGCCACAAGAGGAAATATTGGAGCAATTGGATGAAATGGGTATGGAGGAACAGGGGACTCTTGTAAATGAGGTATTATTAAAAAAACAAATTTCACTAAAAAACAAGGTCATAAATATACTACATTTGAATATCAGAAGCGCAAAAAAAAATTTTGATGAATTACTTTTATTTATAGAATCCTATCAACTGTACTTTTGTGATATATTTATTTTGGGTGAATGTTTTCAAATTTTGTCTTGTGATATGTATAGTATACCTGGATATAATACCTTTTATAACAATGGGGATTTTAATAAAAATGATGGTTTACTAATTTTTGTCAGAGAAACGCTAAATATTGATGTGAATCATGTAAAGCTAAATTTATCACAGGCAACCATTAGTAGAATAACTTTTGAGCACTGCGGTTTATCCTTTGGGATAACTGCAGCATATAAACCGCCTCCGATAGCTGAACCTATATTTCTTAATGATCTAACAGAATTTTTTGAGCATTCTTTAACCAAAAAAATCGAAATTTTCACTGGAGATTTGAATATTAATATAGAGAATATACAAAACCCGATAGTAAATGAATACCTTTCAAAAATGGGACAAAGTGGTTTTGTATCCTATATAAACTCTCCAACCAGGGTTACTCATGAAACATCTACATGTATTGACCATTTATTTGTTAGAAAAAAACTAAAAATAAGCAATTTAAAATTCAAATCATTTATATTGAATACTGATATAACAGACCACTATCCAATCATGCTGAATGTTAATTATAATAACTATGCTGATGCTGATACTCTTAATAAATCTAATGAACCATTAAACTACTATAACCATATAAACTATAACCTCTTAAAACAACAATTGGCAATACAGGATTGGTCAGCAGAAATCATGGGAACGAAAGACCCTGAAAAGGCCACAAATTCTTTTTTAAACATATTCAAGAAATCCATGCAAAATTCCACTTCAAAACGCCCTATAATCCCAAATCAAAGAAAAATTAAAGAATGGATTACAACCGGTCTGATTACATCCATAAAACATAGAGATAAATTGAAGAATAAACTAAAAAAAAATTTTACCGAGGAACAAAACACGATTTATAAAATATACAGAAACAAACTAAACAACTTAATTAAGAAACAAAAATTTCATTTTTATAAGAATCAAATTGAAATTAATAAAAACAATATTAAAAATATATATAAGATCATAGCGGATGCAACAAACGAAAAAAGGAAAGTGAAGTCTTCCAATCATATGTTTGTTGATGAAAATAATCACAGCTTTTCAAACACACTCGAAATTGCAAATTTTTGCAATAATTTCAATAACATTGGTGTGGAAATGGAAAAAAAAATAAACAACCCGCAATACCCTACCACTATAAAAGAAAGCCTTCAAACCTCTTTATATTTAAGACCAGTTACAGAAAGAGAACTTATAAAACAAATATCTACACTAAAAAACGATAGTGCTCCAGGAAAGGATGGAATTTCCACAAGGATTATTAAACATGTAGATATGGAAATAATCAAGCCCCTAGTGTACATTATTAATTTAATTTTTGAAACAAGTATTATACCTAGTCATTTTAAGGAATCAGTGATTACCCCAGTCTACAAAAATGGAGAAAAAAATAAAATTCAAAATTATCGCCCCATTAGTTTGATAAATAATTTTGCAAAACTTTTCGAAAAGTGCTTAAAAGACAGACTTGTAACATTTTTTAATTGCAATAATGTACTGTCCCCAAATCAGTATGGTTTTTCGGAGGGACTAAGTACGGCAGATGCTATGTATTCCCTGGTCTCAGAAATAACAAGCAATCTCGATGAGAGTAAAAAGGTCATAGCGGTGTTCATGGACCTTGCGAAGGCGTTTGATACCGTGCCTCATCAAAAACTCCTTGATGTTTTATCACATTATGGTGTTCGAGGCATGGTATTGGAACTGTTTAAAAACTATCTCTCCGAAAGAGATCAATTTCTGAAGCTAAATCAAACACTGAGTCACCCCTTGAAAATAAAAATTGGTATCCCACAAGGCACCATCTTAGGACCCATTCTTTTCATTACCTACATCAATGACTTACTAAAATTGAACATAAATGGTAAGTTAATATCCTATGCTGACGATACGGTTATTATCTTTACTGGTAAGACATGGGAGGAGACAAAAGAGAGAGTGTCGAGGGGTTTTGGCATCGTCAAAAAGTGGCTTGACTCATTCAAATTGTCGCTCAATTTATCCAAAACTAATTACATAGCCTTTTCTGTGACAGGCGCAAATAGACCTAATTTTATTGAAATTCAGA